GAAGTTCTTTGCTTAAGTTAATGTGGAATCCATTTTCTTAGCTTCTTTTTCCTAAGTCTTGTAAATGGTGTTTTGTAGTTAATTGGTTCAGTTCTGCATTTTCTGCAACATCACGCGTTGTTTTTGTCGCATTTTCCTAAAATTAATCTGTTTTCACATTGTAAAGTTTCCCAAATCGATATTTGTCCTTTCGTTTAAAATATCTTTTTTTAACTTTCGCAACTGTGTGTGTGTGTGGGGGGGGTGAGAATATGAAATAAAGGAGGTGGTCACGCTCGAAACCGAGAGGACAGCCACGATGTATGTATGTATGTATGTATGCATGTATGTATGTATGTATGTATGTATGTATGTATGTGATCGGATGTTGTTTATGCGTTTCCACAGTTTTCAACCGATTTTGATGAAATTTTTTTGTTTGATAGGTAATTCTTCAGTGCCGGTTTTGAGTCCAAATTGTTGGCGACAATGACTCTCCACTACTTCCTGTTCATTATAACTCTCAGCAACGTTTTACTATTTACTATCTGTTCTTGGATATATATCTTTCATAAAAACTTTAATAAAAAATAAATAGTTTAAATTATTACAATATTATTATTTATTATTATACAGTTCCCTTTTCAGGCCCCCCTTCAAATTGTTACCCCCCCCCACCATTTGGGGATGTACCTCAGTTGCAACCAAATGTTACTAATATTGATTTTCAGGTGGACTGACTTTAAACTTAAAGATTTCCCAGTAATGAAAGACCCGGTCAAAGAAGGGTTATACTGCTAAAAGAATATGATGGAAAGAAGCGTGGAAATTCAACTATAATAATAAAAGTTCAATAGCATACAACGGAAAGTAAGACACAGAAAGCAAAAGATACTGAGTAACATCTTATTATTATTATTATTCTATATGGTGTGTACCTTCAGGACGTTGATGATCATAGCTCTCCACAATTTCCGTCTTTTGTAGCTCTTAATAACTTTTGTCTCAAAATCTGTTCCGCCATCCATTCGCTTAAGTTCGCCAGGTAGGTTGTGCGTTGCTTTTCTCTAGCCCTCTTACTTTCAATCTATCGTGTGAGTATCAAATTTTCCAAGTGTTATACTGGAACACACCTATTGTATAGTTAATAGACTCTCCCACCTATAATAAGTAGTAGTAGTAGTACCAGTCGCTCAGTGAGTTGGGCAATCAGTCGACTGGCTGATCGGTTGAACTCTCTGCCTTCGAGCGGGGAGGAACCCGAAAGAGACTACGCCGAAGGGCGGATTCTCTTTCGGGGAGTTAAACCGACCCTGAACCCGTTTATACGGGTTCAATGGGCATATTTTTGGCCGAGCCCTCGTGGGGGGGTGACTAAATATCGAGTTGGGCAATCAGTCGATGTGGGACACTAAGAGTATCAGCGACCACCACTAGATTTCTCTGCGTCATTACTAATTATATCAAGTCCCTAACGTTTTCGTACGTCGAACCTTTTTAGGACCGACTTAGTGTAATACAAGCCTCCACTGTGAAACTACTCTACAACACCAAGCCATCTTTCCTCCTTACGGGCCCCAGACATTTTAACTCTCTCTTCCTGGTGTTAACTATAAGTGCCTTTTTTGTTGTCAATGTCACTAGGACTTCGTCGTTGCTCACATGTTCGGTCCATGGAAATCTCAGCATCCTTCAGTAGAAACACATTTCTGTTGCTTCAAGTCTCTTCTTCATCTGTGAAGAGATTGTCCAGTATTCACTGCCATATAGAAGGTCTGATACAGCATAACAGTTCAATAAATAATCGATAACAACCAAAAAGAGACCGCTGATATTTTGTGGACAAGAAAGAAATTTTGGAGAATTTAAAGCTCACAGGACACATCGCAGACAAGAAAAGTAGGGGAATACAAGAAGCTATCATAAATTTGTGCAAATAGATGGAGGAACAAGTATCATAAGGGAGAAAGTGGGTCCATAAAGGAGAAAGTGTTGTTTAGAACAACAAAGACAAGAAGCTGTTGTGAGCCATGTTCGCTCACATCCCAGAGAGAGAGAGAGAGAGAGAGAGAGAGAGAGAGAGAGAGAGAGAGAGAGAGACTTTTTTATGTTTTTCTTTTCCTTATTTGTTTGAGTATTTGAAAGTTCTATCACGTTAAAATGCAAACAGATAAAACTAGGTACCTAAGGTTTCAAATGAATTTATAAAAATGAAAAATCTTTCTGGAAGCTTTTATTTTAATTTCTACCTAATAGATTAAATTTAATATTTCCAGTAAGCAAATAATAGTGTTCATAATATATCTTATTAATAAAAAGCAAATAAAGCACTTCTAAGTAAATAATGTCTTAATTTTATGACATTTTTTATTTTACGATTCAGAACATATTTTCAGTCACTGGGCAAGGGGTCCTGTTTTACAATAAGAAATTGATGATTTGAATTCTCCAAGAAGCTCTGCTTTTAACTAATATAAACATTTAAGCTCTACAAAATTTATTTTTTCGAAGTTTCATCAATTAAATAAGTGATGGGGCGCGGGGAGTAGGGTTGGTTAACAAATGTTAAAAAAAAAAAAAAAAGAAAAGATTTCTAAAACAATTTAATTCATTTGTGAATAAGTCCTGAAAGTTTCTTTGTTCTTATTAAGTTTTGGGCTTTTTTTCTCATAGTATGCTATTTCTTTAGCGAATCAGTGGAGGTAAAAGTGACAAATGAATCCTGCTCGAATTCGAAAGTTCCGGCTTCAATATAAGAAGGAAAGCGTTCTGAAGCTTGAACACCACAGTAAAATTAACTTTGATTTTAATCAAAGATGCCGATCTGAGGCAGAGGCATAAAAAATGTTACAAAATATTAAGAGTTCTGAAAAAATATTAAAAAATACAAAGGTCTTAAAATAATAAGAACATTAAATAAGAATAAAAACTTTTCGTATGTGATTTTTAATGTTATTTTTCAAATTCATTTTGCTTTTTCTTTCCTAAAAAGGAACAGCATTCTTTTGCTTGAATGGGTTACAAGTACCGAATTGTGATACATTTGAATGCCTAGTGCTAGTAAAAGTAATCCCAAAAGTCGCAAGTAACGAAATTCAAATTTAGTAGTAATGGCTTTTCAACTGTCGCCCTATCTGGCAACCCAGTTGGATACAGATCCTAAAGACTCTCTAATCCTAAAATGCAGAGTTACACGTAACTAATTTCATAATTTATTTTTGTAAATGTTCGTAAAGGAAGAAAAAAATACGACAGACTTACAATAAAAATTACTTCTTCAGTCTTTCATCTAAAAAAAAAAAGGGAAAAAAAAACAGACGGGAAACTAGGAAAAAGTGAAAAAGTGGAATGGTCGTGGTCAAAGAGTAAAAAAATTAAAAAATAAAATAAAAAGTCAGATGCTTGGCTTCTTTGTTTAAAATTATTCCCCCACCCAACAAAGACATGACTCACTCCCTCTCTCCGTTAGCAGATGGCTAGTTTGCTCGAAGCAGACCGACATAGAGAAAAATAAAGAATACGTGGCAAAAGCAGGAGGAGGAGGTGAAGAAAGATGTAAAGAGCCCAAGAAAAAAAAAGGTTGACCGTGAAAGAAGTGAAAAGCACAGAGGAGGAGAAGAACGCAGAAGAGAAGAGGAAAGGTGAACGAGGAGAGGAAAGGAGGAGAGGAAAGAAGAGGAGGAAACTAGAACAGAGGAAGATGGAGCAGATGAAAAGAGGAAGAGGCCGTATTGGATTGGCTATCAATTAACAAAGACTAGCAAAAACGGTTTCGAACACGAGCATATGCTCGCGCGCACACACACATATACACATAATTCAGGGCCATAGTAGAGACAAACGTTTTTGTAGTGGGGGGGGGGGTAAAAAAATTTAGACTTTAACCTTAGGTAATCAAAGGCCGACAATATAGTTAGCGAAAAGAACATTTAAAATTTCCAGTACCTCCTTGCTTTGATAGCTTTTTTTCTTATATTTCTTTCTTTACTGTATTTTGTTAAAACCCTTTAGAAATACTACTATTGGTAAAAATTTGGGTGGGAGAGGCAAGGCACAACCTCACACTCCGCCCCCGGCTGCTAGGCCCTGTAAGCTCAGACGTTTTTGTTCTTTGTATTTCATTTTTCAAATAACCGTTTATTTGCAGTTTACATCTTTCATCCTCGTCCACGTGGATACGGGCATACATTCAGGAAACACAGACGCAGAACATTCTCACTATTTCCCTCTGTTATTCTTTCACCCTATCTATCTATCTATCTATCTATCTATCTATCTATCTATCTATCTGTCTAAGGCTCTTTTCTTGTTTGTCATGGTGTCTTTTCATCTCTTTATCTCAGAGGATGAAAAAGTTATTGCTCAGATCAAGAATCCCTTCAAAATAGCTACATTTTAGGAAGTAAACCTGACCGAGAACTTTTTAGCCAGCTTTTGTATCAGTAATTATCTACTCATATTTATCTTGTTTATTTATCTTCTACAGAAGACATGCTAGGTGTCTATGGTAGAAACCGGGTAACCAATCTTGTCTTCCAAGCCATTGCCACTGAACAGAGTTGGATTATATCCTTCTGTGGCCCAGAGGCTAATGAAATCCACCCCATATATTTTTTAAATAATTAATTAAATAAATAAATATTAATTAGTCATATACACTTACTTTTCGGAGAAAAGTATTGAAGGAAAGTCAAACAGTTTGTAAAAAAATGTTACATTTGTGTATAAAAGATTTTTGTTTTAATTTTTTAAATTTTAGTTTGAATTATCTCTAAAAGGACCGCCAGAAATAACGGTCGGTCATGACAGACTATTGGAGTTTAATTTTTTTTCAAATTGAATATATATATATATATATATATATATATATATATATATATATATATATATATATATATATATATATATATATATATATTCAACTTGTATTTTTTGTCCAATCAAAAGGGATAGCTTCCACCCATGTAAATTAAAATTTGAGCTCCGTTTGAGCCACTCCTGAGAGTATATAAGAACATGGGTCAGAGGAGAACAACAGCAGGTACCAAAACATTTGCTGCGAAGGAAAACAGCCGGCTGCGGGTAGACAGAAGCGGCTTAGACGTCAGATGTGAAGGAAGCCGGCCAGCTGTAGGGAGGCAGAGACCAGATGGGTTTGTGGCGTCCGCAATATGAAAATCGCTATCGGTAACTCGGAGAGCAAAAGGGTGAGAGATATTGGCATACTCAAGGACTACGCCAACAACTTCTACGACGATAAAAAAGAAGTACAGCAAAAAGAAACTTCATCTTTGTTGCCATATTTATCACAACGTTTCGGCCGTTGTACACTCCGGCCTTCTTCAGGTGGTTGGAATGTCGAACTGAACCCTTTATTTCGCTCACGTGCCATGCTTAATGGTTGTCTGTTATCAGTTATCTTCTGTTAATTCCCCTCTCCAAGTTTTCCGCTGCCCTAACCGGGTATTGAACTCGCACAGTTTGGGTCCTGTCACTGGATCTAACCGACGCCTTTATCCACAGTGGATAAAGGCGTTGGTTACATTAACTTACACTCAAATACCCTTGGGAAATGTATAAATTCACCACTTTCCCATCATCTATGGGTGAAATAAGACTTGTATCCTAAAATCGCTATTATCTTAGAGAAATTGTTAATGTATAGGACACATAGAGGCTGGAGAGGAATATTCCATTAATCTGGTACCATTCAAACCTTTTTGAGCAAGGTGAGTAATAATCGGTTTTACAGAACCTGAAGAAGCATTGATTTGCATGAATATACTGTTTAGCTTGAAGTTTGTGACTTGAACCGCTAAAAGAAATGGTCTGATTCAAGAAATTACAATAATTCTCTGCCTAGATAAAGGCAGAGCAACATCTATCGTGAAGGGACATATAATTTAATTTATCCCACAATATTTGTCAAAAATTTTACTCTATCTTCTTCCAACTCTATCTTTAAGTTATATGGGATATTTTCATGAATTACTCAACCTGCTCAACCTTGCTCAGCCATTAGTTTCAGCCAATGTAGCTCTACATTAATCCCTAAAAATTACTGTTGGGTGTTCCTATTTGCGATGATTGCTAAAAGGTTATAGTTTGGTTGTTTTCATTCCTTTAACCGATGTTCTTAATATTCTACGTCTTTTCTCTTTGTTTACATCCACAACAGCAGCTTGTTTAAATAATTTTTTGCTAATCAATCCACTTTTCTGCTTCTTTGCCATTTTTCTAAAATTTGTTTTTGTGACATTTTAGTGATGTTTTCTTGTCAGTGTTTTCAATTTCTCTTTTGATAATAAAGTGATATTTGTTCAAGTGTTTCCAACATTGCATTTCCATTACTCAATACTTTATTTCTCTTTTGAGGTTATATAATTCTTACGGTCTATGGTAATTTTTTTTTATTAATCATTATGTAGATAAAATTTTACACTATACTATTTCATATATTTAGGATGTAAATAACTCAAGTAAAATAATAAAATCTCACATAACCATATATATATATATATATATATAAAGAAATATAGTTTAAAGGTGTGCTATATTTATGGGATAAAGTGCTCAACATCAGAGATAGAACGTATGCAAATATAAATATAAAAGTGAACATTGAAGTCAACACTCAGAGGCGACAGGCTGTTTCATGCTAGGCGGCCTGACGATTGCGCCTAGCATGAAACAGCCTGCCGACTCTGAGTGCTGACTTCAATGTTCTCTTTTATATATATATATATATATGTGTGTGTGTGTGTGTCTAATCCTAAAATAAATTACTAATATTGATTGTTTTTTTATCATTTCACTATAAATAAAGCCACTGCGACGCAAGGGGTTACTGAGTGTTACGGAATATGAGAAAAACATTATTAAAGAGCGAGAATAACAAAAGAACAGGAATTACGAAGACAGAAGACAAGGATTGATATTGTGTTTAAATTTTTGAAGATTAACTTAACCTGGAAAGTATGGAGCTGGAAGAGAGTTCCGCAAGCAAGAAGTGCAATAGAAGAAACTGTTAGCATAGAACTTACGGTTACATCTAGTTATTTCAACTATAAAATAATGAGACCTCGCCGACAATCTATTACTACGCTTAAATTCTTAAAGTCTAGGTACTTTTGGGGAAAGTTCATCTCAACAATTACCATGAAAATATTTATAGAAAAAAAAACAGGAAAGCAACGTTACGAGTTGTAACGTTGTCCTTCGGGGCCTCTTGAGACACCAATAAATTCTTCCGGTCAACTCCGGGAGATAATCATCTTCTGCATACCTATATCAGTTATAAAACAAATTCTTGTCTCTATTCCCATTTCTATTTTATTGTAATCAATTAATTCGTTATCTATTTGTATACAAGCCATTCTTTCTCATTGCAGATTATTTAAATATCCTTTCTGTTTAGATCAAGATTTTCTAACATTTCAATATTTTTTTCAGGCTGTACGTTATTATCGAACGCCTTTGTGTACTGAATAAACATTTAAATCTTATTTGATTAGGCAGATGAATAAATTACTGCTAGTTGCCTTGGCAGGAAACAAGACTAAGCAATCTGGACTAACTATTGTAATGAATTTGATTTTACACATGGCGCCTTGTGCTAGACAAAACCAAACTTAACAAATAGTGGCATTGGCCAGGATCAGAGTTTAAAAAAGTAATCCCAGCAGACTGTGATTACTGTTGTCTTTGTTCTTGTTAGAGCAAATACATAACCATAGAGTTTAATGAAACGCCCAAGTCGAAGACTTACTATGATTCTCCACTACAAAAAAAACAAAAAAAAACAAAACAAAAAAAACTGGTTTCAAATCAGCATGAAGCTCTTTTACTTTCGGGAACAATACTTTGACCACAGGTTTATTTTTAATATTTGTATAGACTTCTTTGCTTATTGTTTGGAAAAAGAGTTTTCCCATAATTTTATTTGTATAACTAACGAATGACACATCGGATTCAGAGCGAGGTACGTTGACGTCACAGTTTGTAAACAAATTTTTATAGTCCCTCAAGCTGTGGCCGCATGAAACAAATGAATACAAATTTAGATAAAGTCTATTTAAATTTGTGAAAAGAAAATATTTCAGATAAATTTTAAATAGTTGTTGCTTCGTGAGGTCATTTTTAATTTTCTATCTGCGTCGAGAGAAAATTGATTTAAATCAGTTAATATTGTAGAAGTAGCGAGAAAATTATCTTTTTTCATATAAATAGATATGAGCTGATTGAGATAAATACATATGAACAGACTGAGCTAAATGGATATACAGAGAGATATGAACAGTCTGAGACGGACAGACAGAATGAGAGACATACATACAGGTGTGGCCCCATGCATCCTGACGATTTGAAAGAAATATTCATAGATATATGATTTGTTTTTTACGGTTTATCAACCATTTAATAATTATTTAAGGCCGAAAAATATTTTAGGTTTTAAGAATAATTCTTTCTTTACATTCAAGCGATTTGGGAGAAAGAAAGAGAAAACGAAGAAAAAAAGAAAGAAAAAATAATACGAAAACGGGTCATAGGCGAACACACACACAAACGGCTAGAATTGATAGGTAGCAGATGTCGAAAATATCTAGGTCACCTACGAACAAGCATTTGACCGATTTCCGCGTGTCCACGAAAAATGGAATTTTGTTATCAATTGGATGTCACCCAAGGAAAAGAAAGACCATTGTTGAATATTGACGAAACACAGACAGTCTTCAGAATTGGAAAAATCCCACCCAAGAAGTTTTCACTGGCAAAAATTTTCTTTCTTTTGACAGAATAAATACTTGCCCTGCGATAATAAAGATTTTCGTTATCAACACATGAGCCGAAAGGAAAATGAAATATTTTTATTTCGCTTCAGAAACGCCAGCTAGCCTAGGAAATTCATTTCTTGGATCATGTCCAATTAGCGATAAACTACTTGACAAATACCACGTGTTAAAAAGCCGAGAGTGTCATCTCAGTCGCTCATGATAAGGGCGATTTAATTAATATTTTTTTTTGTTAAGCAAGGTATTTCTTTCCCTAAACAAAACCGCGGATTATTCACGCCCGACTAAGACGTCATTGGCCAAGTAGATCACATGACGCACGAAGGAGGAGGAAAGATACCCGACCAGGACCTCATTGGCCGAGAGCGGTCACGTGACGCACGAAGAAAATCGGTTGACGTCTCTATCAGAAGTGTAAGTGTGAGGAGCCGATACGAAGAAGTGGGGAAGTTAGTGCACGCCCCTCAGAAGCACAGTAAGAGAGTGGGAGTGAGAGGAAAGTTACCGAAAATGGAAAGGAGTAAAAAAAATCCCTAACCAGAAATAAGAAGGGTGGAGACGTATTTAGAATTGTCGAAGAACCCCTGGTGCCGACAGACCCACCCCAGTTTTGACAGGGTCAATAAAAGCGAGAACCCAACCGACAGAAATCAGTTCGTTCGACCCAAGCTGGAGAGAAGAAGTTTGAGTTCAGCCGCAGACCCTGGCGAGAAGTTTTGAGCTTTGGACGACAAGCAGAGATAAGTGCCCAGTGTTGAAACCGCGTCAAGATAGCTGACCAAGATTCACGCACACTTTTGGACTCTTCTTCAACCAAGAACAAGTAGTTTGAAGAGCGACTTAGAATCAGACCACAGAAATAAGTTTTTTCGACTTTCGTCCAAAGACACACCGAAACACAAATTTCTTAGAGAGCAGACAACTTGAAGCCTTAAAGTTTCGCCGTGCCACAATCCACAGAACGGGTCGGGAAGTAGACATAGTCCTATGTACCGAACAAATAGACATAAAAGTTTGTTACCTTTTTCTTTGATACTTTAGACTTTGTGAGTTTTCATTTTATTTTCTTTTATCCATAATTGTGTGTTATCATTACGGCCCCGACCCCTGTTTGATCTCGTCTGTCTAAGATCAATTCACAACGTGGGTAGACAGACTGGGGATCAGTGCAGTTACCCTGGTAACCAGGCGTTGGAAGCAGGTTGGGAACGGCGAGGCTGGTATCAATCTAACCAGATTCCTACCCGAATCACCAAAGGGTTAGAACGTCACATTTGGAGCAGCGAGGAGCGAACAGCTGACGCCGCGGCGAAGACGTCACACAGGCAGATAGATAGATAGATAGATAGATAGATAGAAATTGACTGAGATAGATATCATCAGCCAGATATCAATAGGCTGAGCTAGCTAGATAGATAGGAGCTATGAACAGACTGAGATAAATAGATACGTAGATAGATATGAACAGTCTGATATATATATATATATATATATATATATATATATATATATGAATGAAGACTGAGATAGATAATTAACATACTGAGATAGATATGAACCAACTAAGATAGATAAGCTGAGACTGAGATAGATAGATAGATAGATACATACATACATACATAATAAACAGTCTGAGATAGATATGAACATACTGAGATAGATAGATAGATAGATAGATAGATAGATAGATAGATAGATAGATAGATAGATATGAACAGGCTGAGATAGATAGATAGATAGATAGATATGAACAGGCTGAGATAGATAGATAGATAGATAGATATGAACAGGCTGAGATAGCGAGAAATAAATAAATAAATGGAGAGGTTATTTTACATATTCATTTTTCCTTTTACCTCCCCTCTACTTCTTTTTCTCGACCCTCTCGACTTTTCAATATTCTACTTTTGAATAAGAAAACGTTTGGAAATGGGAATGAAACTTATACTTAACACCAGGAAGAGATACTTGAAATTTCTAGGGCAGATAATGAGGAAAGAAAGTTTGGAAAATCTAATACTCACAGGGCAGATTCAGGACAAGAGGGACAGAGGAAAACAACGCATAACCTACTTAGTGAGCTTGAGTAAATGAATGACAGAACAATGTTTAGGAGTAAAACAAAAAGACAAAGTTTATTAAGAGGTACAAAATTGGGGAGAGCCATGATCGCCAACGTCCTGAAGAGACACGGCACATACAAAAAGATTTGGAATGAGTATATATTTTTTTAAAGAACGAAAACTGTAAACTCTAAACAATGTAGTCTTTATTTATCAGCTTACTCTCCTGTCCGGTTAAAAGAGATCTCAAGATGCAGACAGACAAAGACTTTATGTTGTAATCAACCGTAAATATCACGGGACGGATCCTGATTGCCACCCGTATTTCAAATTCCAATTTGGTGGGTTGAGGGTGTGTTGGAAGAAGATCCTGTTTTCTACTTTTCATTGTTATGGCTGCTTGTTTTCCTATTATTCTGAAAATGCGTTATGCATTATATTAATACTTAATTTGCTTGTTGTTATGAGGTCGCTCCAAACCACTGATAACAACGACACAACACGACTTTAAGCACTAATGTTTTTCATAGAATTCGAATCCGAATCATCAAATATATTCATAGTAAAAATTAGATTTTATTTTGAGTCATCACATTTAGCTGAAATCAATTGCAAAAAATTTTCAGCCGTCGGTAGACTTTCTTTCGAAGTTGTATGAAATGCTTTTTTTTCAGTATCCTTTGGTTTCGTCTGCTTTCAATCAATTTCTGCTGACATATCGATGAATGGCAGATTCTGGCAAACCCGTTAAACCAGCCACAATTTCTGCCACTACGTTCTTTTTTTCTCACATATGCACAGACTTACAAATAAGGCTAAGTCAAACTATACACTGAGAACATGTATTTCCTTGTACCGCTATTCAATAAAGTTTTTACACTTTCTTAATTAAAAGTGTTGTACGACAAAGAGTTCATAAGATTGAATTTTAAACACTATTTATGTTGTTTCTAAACATCAATTTTTTTTTGTTTGATGACACGCTCTTGATCTTATTTTGTTTTTGGCATAAAAATAATTATATGTGAATTTATTAATTCCAAGTTGCCTAGCTAACTCGCTAGCTAGATAGGTTAAGGGATACGGCCTACAACTTATGAAGGCTGTAAAACAAATTGACTGAAATGCTTCCATTGAAATAACAAAACTAAGCATATAGGAGGCACGGTGGAGTAATGGATAGCAACTCGGAGAGAGCCGAGTTCAAGTATCAGTCGAATCCATTGCATTCACTTACGTGCTAATACCCTTGGAAAAGGTATGAATCCTCTTCCTCTTTTCCCTCCAACTATGGGAGAAGCTAGCTAGATAGATAGATATAGATATATCCATATAAATAGCAAGACGGATTGTGTTCTATAGACTTGAATGTCAACTGGTCTACCGCAGAAAGAAATGGCAACCTACTGCGGGAAAAAATCTGCCTGGTCAGTCATGTATCGAAAGATACATGATCGCGTAAGCGTGTATCACGCATGGCACATAAATGAACTAAAGCATACTGGTCGGAACACATCATGAAATAATGTTCATGTTTTTATTATTTTTTCTTATTGATCATCGTATGAGCATATGCTAGATAATATTACTTCTTCTTATAACATTAAGAGATGTATAGATTTATCATATTGATTTATGGTTGTTTCATCTCGATTTTTTTTTTGAGGTCGGAGATTATTGATTTGGAGACATTTTTTTTTTTTAGTTTTATTCAACCTCAGTGTAAACAGGCTTATCAACTAATCTCAAACCAATTGTACAACTTTTTCTCGCAATTACATTACAAAAAATCTGATACAATTTATTTTTGCCATCCCAAAACGAATCGAGGGTATATGGTTTCGTGTCCTTTTTCGAACATTCGCGCTTCTTCTTGCGAGGATGAGAGGGATTCTCACTCTCCCCTCGTAGATCGGGCGTTTATATAACATTCGGCTGTCTTGTGTGTGCATATCTTTCAACTGGATTCACAACTTTCTTTATGTTGGTGCACCCACCGACGCATTCTGAGTTCCGATTCTGCACTTGGAGGCTTTGAGGATACCTTCTAGGTCAACTCTCGAGGCTCCTCGGCCTTTTGGAATTCTGAGATGACACCGAATGCAAAACTTACTTTGGCATCTCTTAGGGTGAATCCAATACATAGGTCAGCACTTCTTCAAATGGACATTAAATTCGATTCAAACTACTAGTAGTTATTTATTCGCGTGCCCACATTGCAACAGAATGTGACACAATCCTAATCCACTGACACCCAGTGAAGGTTTGCATCGGCACCTGGTGTTTATGAGATCATCTTCCAGGTGTACCTGATGATGCGCCTGACCTTCTGGTGCGACATTGAAAGCAAAGTATATTCTGGTATCATCAGAGATATTGGGGTCACTACAGATCAACTCCTCTTAGGAGAAATGTTCCTTATTGGCATTAAATTTCGTTCAGACAATCTGGCATTCCTTGGCATGAATCACATACTACACAAGTTCTCTAATTATTTTGACAGTTGTATCATGAGGTTTGTTCGATGTAAAAGTTAAAATATTTACATCAGTTTGATTATACTAGTCGCTTTCATAAGTTAGTAATTAAAAATAATCACTGGACCTTATATCCATATACGGTGATTCAGTACTTAAACGATTTGCGTATAAAACTGATCAGTGATAGAAATTTTGCCACTTTCTGACCTATGAAAAGTCGTAACATAATCCTTAGGCCCCGAAAAAAGGTCGGAAAATATTTTATATTTGATTCTTGTTTTGAATATAAAGAGAAGTAAATTCTCTGCATATTACGCAATCAATAGACTTATGTGATATTAGAAAAATAATTCTCAGCTGAAAATTCGATTTTCTATTCGTTTACATTCAGCTCGTAAAGAATGGGGAATGATTTTTTGGCCTCTCGCTTATTTATTGGATATCAATACTGAACGTTTTGATTGGCTGATTATATTGCTTCTCTTTCATGTTGAATGTTCATATGACTCATCGGACCATGACATACGTTGTCAGTTCACCAGATTCCAATTAATTTACTCATTGGTCTTTCACTGGAGATTAAATGACAAGTTTTTGCAGTAGTCTTCCATTCTCCTCACTATAGATAATTTTATTATCTTCCGGGGTGTTTAAATCATCCCTTTTATGTCTAACGCCGATTAAAGAATGACAAAGGGAGTTGATAAAAAGCAAGTTAAGTACAGAAGAAAGAAAAAACACACACACACACCTTGGGCGATTTTTCTCAGTCGATCCTTTCTGCTTACGAAAATCGGGCTTTGCTAACCAGACATTTCTTTGTGGTTGAATGGTTAACAGCACGCAGATCAAATGACGGTCCACATTAGGGTTAGAGGTTCGATTCCTGTAGGCGAGCGCATATCTTCTACGAAATTTCTCGAACATTCAGGCCGATAAAAGAAATTAAGTGTTTAATTAAAAAACAGAACATTTACTTAAATAAATTATATCTATAAAAATAACGTATAAACAGAAAATATATTAAATAATTGTAGGACTTAATCCATTTCATAATATGTTGTCATTGTCAAGATGTGTTTCTTTGTGGCTGAATAGTGAACAGCACGCCGGATCAAATGACGGTTCTTATTTGGGTTACAGGTTTGATTCCTGTCGGAGAGTGCATATTTTCTACGGAATTTCTCGAGCGGTCAGGCCGGAAAAGGTAATTAATACTGTTTATTTAAAAAACAGAACATTTCAATGATATCTATAAAAATAACGTAAACAGAAAATATATTAAATAATTGTCGGTAATCCATTTCATATATATATATATATATATATATATAAATATATATATATATATATATATATATATATATATATGCATATATATATATATATATATATATATATATATATATATATATATGTAAATATATTGATGCATGTTTTATTAAATAATATAGACAAGTTTTGTCTATTTGTTTTAAGTAAGTTCCTTTCATATTGTCTGATAAGATTAATAACATTATCATTGAATGACGAAAGGAAATCACCATATTGATACATGTTTTAATCCTATCTAAGCTTTCGGCTTACATAAGCAATTATCAAAGATGACAATTACATTTCAATATATCAAACAATACACGGACGAAACAATACTGATATCCGTTTTTGAAATTGCTGCCTAAATATATATATATATATATATATATATATATATATATATATATATATATATTTACTTACTGGCCACTTCCTTAAGTACACTTATATATATCTAAATGATCTTTTATTTAAGTTTTTAATCACTTTATGATGTAGAAAAAATTTAATGGATATGCGCATTTAAATATAGTCATAGTGACCTGCTGAATTTCATTTTAATGCATTAAATATAGTCATAGTGACCTGCTGAATTTCATTTTAATGCATTAAATATAGTCATAGTGACCTGCTGAATTTCATTTTAATGCATTAAATATAGTCATAGTGACCTGCTGAATTTCATTTTAATGCATTAGCATTTTACAGACTTTTAACGCACTATGGTTGTTAGTATCAGACGGTCGTGTTTGGCTATTTCACAAATTGCCGATCTACTAGTGTTTTCAAGCACAATGTTTGTACGGTACGGTTTACAGAGAATTGTCAGAATAAAAAAAAATCAAGTCAGCGTCAATTATGTGGGAGGAAATTCCTTATTGAGGTCAGAGGAGAAAGGTCAGATTAGTTTAAGACGATCGAAAATTTCAAATAACCATCCTTTACAATAGAGATGTATAGAAGAGTATTTCTGAATGCACGATGCACAAAATCTTGAATCAGATAGGATATACAAGAAGACGTCGAGTGTCACACCTGTTAGATAATAACAAGAAACTGAAGCTACAATTCGCTAAGGATAACAAAAATCGGACAATAGAAGATTAGCGTTGCCTGATCTGATGTGTCACGATTTCTACTGCGCCATTCGGATGGCAAGGCCAGAATTTGGCATAAAGTAAAGTATGGATTCATCGTCCCTTGTATTAACGGTTCAGGCTGCTGAAGACCAAAACTTAGAACGAGTACTTCCAGAATATCGTCAGATCCATGCCAAGTAGGAATGAGGTGATTCTAAAGGCAAAACGACGTCCAACAGAAGAGTATAGCTATGGAATTATTCCATCTTGTCTTGCCAATGGATTTCGCTTAACGCCGTTAGCAAGTGTGACAACGGTACAAAAGTACTCACTCTCTCTCTTTTATATTTGTTTGCTCTGGGATGCAATAACAGCAACGGGAGATTACCGCCCCCCCCCACCGGAGGAATTGAGAAGAAATAAAAGTGTTCTAAAGGCAAAATAGGATCAGTCCGGTATTAGATTAATATGCAGGAAATTCAGTCGTCCAGGATTTGTTATATTAAAAATCC